CGTACTTTGTTGAAACTTATGTGATTGCAAAAAAATATATTTTTAGCAAAAATAAAAAAAATGCCCAACGTGAATATCGATTGTCGAATCCCGTGCATTGATTTGACTTTGAAGTCATTATAAGTATTGTTAGATATACAAAAAATAATAAAAAATATTTGATAAAAAAAGCTCGTTAGCAGAAACAAACATCTTTTTTTCTTAGGCCTTATCACTATGGTTAACGTTGTTTTACTATTATATCAGATTGGGATATGCCACTGGTAAAGTAAAACCTGTGTTGGCAGTCACCATTATAGCACTGCCACATTGTCTATAAAGGAAACATTTTGACATTTATCCCATCATGAAACCGAGAACAGTCACCTGTATTTTTGTTGATCACATAACGTCCATAGTATCAGGGAGTGGATAATAGAGATCTCTATTATCCACTCTGATAGTATCAAGTGTAAAAGATAATAGGTGTAAGGGATGTGTATGCAGTGCAGCCTGCAGGAGTGTATAATAGATTATATTCGATAAAATTATAGATTGTATATATAAGATATAAGATATAATCAGGAGTGTATCGATATTGATACACTCCTGATATAATATGTATAAGATATAAGATTATATTATTAGTAATAGACAATCTATATTATGCACTCATGTGTGGTGGGTACGTGGTTGTATGCACATCCATGCTTCTTGCACCTCACCTGCAGATCTGTGCTGCGAGGGGGCGCCGGTGTCAGGTGTAAAAATATAGGTGCAAGGGGTTGTACATGCGGTGTGTACGCTGTTGTATTCACGTTTGCTCTGTGTTGTTGTTTTGTATTTACGTTTGCTCTGTGTTGTTGTTTTGTATTCACGTTTGCTCTGTGTTTATTGTTTCTTGTATTTCCACGTGCTCCTGTGTTGTTGTTTTGTATTCAACGTTGCTCGTGTTTGTTGTTGTTATGTATTTACGTTTGCTCTGTGTTGTTGGTTGTTATTGTATTTACGTTTGCTCTGTGTTGTTGTTGTTTGTATTTACTGTTGTTGGCTCTGTGTGTTGTTGTTTTGTATTCACGTTTTGGTACTGTGTTGTTGTTACGTTTTGTATATTCGGTTTGCCGTGTTGTCGTTGTTTTGTATTTACGTTTGCTGCTGTGTTGTTGTTGTTTTGGTATCTCACGTTGCCTGTGTTGTTGTTGTTTGTTTTCAACGTTTGGCTCTAGTGTTTGTTGTTGTTTTGTATTCTACGTTTGCTCTGTGTTGTTGTTTTTGTATTACGTTTGCTCTGTGTTGTTGTTGTTTTGTATTCACGTTTGCTCTGTGTTTGGTTTGTTGTTTTGTTTTCGAACGTTGCTCTGTGTTGTTGTTGTTGTTGTAATTTACGTTTGCTCTGTGTTGTTGTTTTGTATTTACGGTTGCTCTGTGTTGTTGTTTGTTTTGTATTTAACGTTTTGCTGCTGTGTGTTGTTTGTTTGTATTAACGCTTTGCTCTGTGTTGTTGTGTTTTGTTATGTTACCGTTTTGCTCTGTGTGTTGTTTTTGTATTAGTACGTTTTGCTCTGTGTTGTTGTTTTGTATTTACGTTTTGCTCTGTGTTGTTGTTGGTTTTGTATTTAAGCGTTTGTCTTTTGTGTTGTTGTTTTGTAAATATCACGTTTGCCTGTGTTGTTGTTTGTTTTGTACTTTACCCTTGCTGCTGTGGTTGTTGTTTTGTATTTACGTTTGCTTCTGTGTTGTTGTTTTGTATTTACGCGTTTGCTCTGTGTTGTTGTTGTTTGTATTTACGTTTGCTCTGTGTTGTTGTTTTGTATAAATTTACGTTGCCTCACTGTGTTGTTGTTTTGTATTTATGTTTGCTCTGTGTTGTTGTTTTGGTATTCACGTTTGCTCTGTGTTGTTGTTGTTTTGTATTTACGTTTGCTCTGTGTTGTTGGATTGTTTTGTATTTACGTTTTGCTCTTGTGTTGTTGTTGTTTTGTATAAAATTTTACGTTTGGCTACTGTGTTGTTTGTTGTTTTGTATTTACGTTTGCTGCGTGTTGTTGTTTTGTATGTTACGTTGGTCTCTGTGTTGTTTGTTTTGTATTACGTTGCTCGTGTGTTGTTGTTGTTTTGTATTCACGTTTGCTCTGTGTTGTGTTGTTGTTTTGTATTCACGGTTTGCTCTGTGTTTGTTGTTGTTTTTGTATTTACGTTTGCTCTGTGTTGTTGTTTTGTATTTTCACGTTTGCTCTGTGGTTTGTTGTTTTTTATTTAACTTTGCTCTGTGTGTCGTTTTGTAATTTACGTTTGCTCTGTGTTGTTGTTTTGTATTCATGTTGCTCTGTGTTGTGTTTTGTGATTACGTTGCTCTGTGTTGTTATTGTTTGTGTTTTCACGTTTCGCTCTGTGTTGTTGTTGTTTTGTATTTACGGTTTGCTTGTGTGTTGTTGTTGTATTTACGTTGTGCTTTGTGTTGATTGTTTTGTGATTCAACGTATGGGCTCGTGGTTGTTGTGTTTTGGTATTTACGTTTGCTCACTGTGTGTTGTTTTTTGTAAATTTACGTTTGCCTGTGTTTGTTGTGTTTGTAATTTAACTGTTTGCTACTGGGTTTTGTTGTTTTGTAATTACGCTGTTGCTCTGTGTTTGTTTGTTTTGTGATTGAAATTTATCGTTGCTCTCTGTGTTGTTGTTTTGTATTTCACGTTTGCTACTGTGTTGTTGTTTGTATTTACGTTTGCTCTGTGGTTGTTGTTGTTTTGTATTACGTTTGCTCTGGTTGTTGTTGTGTTTATTGTTATTTACGTTTGCTGTCTGTGTTGTTGTTTGTTTTTGTATAAAAATTTACGTTTGGCTCTGTGTTTGTTTGTTGTTTGTATTTACGTTTGCTCTGTGGTTTGTTGTTTTGAAAAATTTTTTTTTACGGTTTGCTCTGTGTTTGTTGTTTGTATTTACGGTTGCTCTGTGTTGTTTGTTGTTTTGTATTCGACGAGTTTGCTCTGTGTTGTTGTTGCTTTTGTGATTCACGGTTTGCTCTTGTTGTTGTTGTTATTGTATTTAACGTTTGCTCCTGTGTTGTTTGTTTGTATTCACGTTTGCTCTGTGTTGGTTGTTTTGTATTTACTTGCTCTGTGTTGTTTTTTTGATGTAAACGTTGCTCTGGTGTTGTTGTTTTGTATTCACGTTTTTGCTCTGTGTTGTCTGTTTTTTGTATTTACGTTTGCTCTGTGTTGTATTGTTGTTTTCAGCGTTTGCTTCTGTGGTTGTTGTTGTTTTGTATTTACGTTGCTGTGTGTTGTTTTTTGTATTTACGTTTGCTTGCTGTGTTGTTGTTTTGTATTTACGATTTGCTCTACAGGTGTTTTGTTGTTTGATTCACGTTTTGCTCTGTGTGTGTTGTTTGTAACGTTTGTGCTCTGTGGTTGTTGTTTTGTATTTACGTTTGTGCTCTGTGTTGTTTGTTTGTAATTTAGCGTTTGCTCTGGTGTTTTGTTGTTTTTGAGTTGTATTCAACGTTCTGGCTCTGTGTTGTTGTTGTTTTTGTATTCACGTTGCTCTGTGTTGTTTTTGTTTTTGTATTTTACTTGTGCTGGGGTGTGTTGTGTTGTATCTCAACGCTTTGCTAGCTGTTTGTTGTTTTGTATTTTGACGTGTTTGCTCTGTGTTGTGTTTTTATCAACGTTTGGCTCTGTGTTGTTGTTGTTTTGTATTTACGTTTGCTACTGTGTTGTTGTTTGTTTT